GAGGCGCTGCAGTCACCCACACTCCGCGGAACCGCCGAACCGAAAGCCAAACTAGTGAGCGACTTGTCTCGGCCCCGCCTGGGCCCCGCCCCACTGCATGACTCCACCGGCAAGGTCGCACGGCGACCTGGAAATTGCAGTCGCCCTCTTTGTTCGGCACGTCAACTAGCGGCGCTCTGTCTCTCTCGCACCCCTTCCGGGCGAGGGCGAGAGAGAGAGAGAGACAGAGCGACGGAGCGCGCTCCGCCTCTGCTAACACATCCCGAAGCACGGAGACGGAGGCTGATTGTGCCCGGCAGGCTTATTGAAACTAGCCGTCCGGGCCATGGAGGAGGACTGCCGTCGCTCGCTCTCGCGAGCGTTGCGAAGAACAGCTGTGTGTGTGAGAGAGAGAGAGAGAGAGAGAGAGAGAGAGAGAGAGAGAGAGAGAGAGAGAGAGAGAGAGAGAGGGAGAGAGAGACGCCGCAGGCATCATCAGCGTGCCGCAGCGCCACCGCTTTTAGGGAAGGCCTCGCGACCGCGCTGCTTCACTTCCTGCCGAAAGCGAGATGGCCGCCACCGACTGACCACTGCCGCGGTGCACCGCGCGGCGCGCACCGAGCGCCATGTGTGACGTTGAGTCAGCGGCGCCCAGCGGCTTGGCTCGCTGCTTCCCTCGCACCCGGAATGGCAAAGTCTATTACCGCCGCGGTGCCGCGATGCCGCGATGCAGTCTGCAGTCCTGCACCGCGCAGCGAGCAGCGCCCAGGCAGCCAAGGCCCCCCAAAGCAGCCGAACGAGGGCCGCCACACAGTGGGCCAGAAGGCCGGTGGAGGCGGCCAAAACTCAAGACGCGTTTTGAGCCCCAGAGTCGCTAAGCAGGCCCCGAACCGAACGTGTGACCCCACCAATGGATTCCTCGTTCGGAGAGCAATCCATTGGTGGGGTCACACGTTCGGTTCGGGGCCTGCTTAGCGACTCTGGAGCTCAAAACGCGTGTGGAGTTTTGGCCGCCTCCACCGGTCTTCTGGCCCACTGTGCGCTAGGCCCCCCGCGGAGGCATTCCGAACGCTGCGTTCGCTCTGTCTCCCTCGCGCTCGCAGGGCGTCCCGCGGTACCGCAGGGGTGCGAGAGAGACGGCGAGCGGAGACAGCGCCGTGATTCATCGGCGTAAAGGCTGCGCGTTACACGACACGAGTGCCGGCGGCAGTTACTTCGCCAGAAAAGATTTTAAGGAAAAAAACAAGAAAATGACGCGCCAGAAATTGGTGGTGCAAATTTGTGGCGGAAAGCCAAGCATGTTTCTGGCTGTTCCGCTGACGGCCTGCTCGGTCACCGCGTGTGCTGCTGGAGACGCTGGAGTCCGCGTAATGCAGTAGCCGTGACGGTGCTGGTTTCTGTGCCACTACACTGCTACACGTGACGCGGCGTTGCGCGGCGGCCGTTAAAAAAATAAAAAGCCTCAACGGCCCGAGATATCGTGCTTTGTTTCCGCGCGGAGCGCGCGCGTGCGGGGGCGGGGGGCGGCGACGACGGCGTCCTCGTCCTTGCCGAGGCCGGCGCCGGCGGGCGTGAGCCCCGCGCGGCAGCGGGCCGCCACGACGTCGCGACCGTCCCGACGGTGGACAACGCGCTGCTTCACCAAGTGCATCCTCTTCTCGGCGACCTTGCCTGGCCTCGCCCGCCGTCGGCGAGGTGCCGGCACCGTGCCGCACGTCCATCAAACGGACGAAAATAGACACGGAGACCGAGACGAAGCCCAAGACAGGCCCAGCGGGCGGACCTTCCAATAAGGCTTTACGACTCCGGCGGGGACCGCGGCGGGGACGCTGGCCAGGCGGACCGGCCGACGCGACTCGAGGAAGAGGACCTCGCATGCCAAGCCGCCAACCCCCGGCACGCCACTGCCAAGGCCAAGGCCACTGCCAAGGCCTAGGCCGCGCACCGGGCCAGGGAGCCCGTTCGACGGCACCCTCAGACAGGAAGCAAATCTCTGATTTGAGGTTCCGATGGATTGGCTCTCGCTCGAGTGCCACTTGAGGGCGCCCGACTGGGTAGGCAACCGCCAGGCAGCCGCGCCGCCTGGTCGCCTACACTGCGAGGGGCTCTGCCCGGCTCTGCCGGTGGAGCCGCCCGGCCAGCTCAGCTCGTCTCGCCGCACTCGAAGCGAACCACGACACCACGACACGGCACTGATAACGCGACACGCCCCGGACTCGTTCCACTCGGCCGTATCGACGCGGCAGTCACCTCCAATGAGGGATGCGGTCAGAACCGGTCGCAGCGAATCAAGAAAATAAGACGAAAAGCCACCCGGGCCGCGGCGAGGGGAAGGCAAGGCAGCAGGCCGAATGCCTTCACCTTGTGAGCCATTTTTATTCTGGCCGCCTGCCCCACCGGGCCGCTCCGCACTCCGCCGCTCTTTTTTGCTCGTTTTAATTGTCGCGCGGGTTTGTTTTGGTCGGCGAGGTCGGCGACCCCGGCGGCCCGGCCCGGCCTGCGCCTCGGCATTCCGCAGTGCGGTGGTCAGAGCCGGTCGCATAGTGTGGGCGAGGCGGGGCGAGGCGGGCCAACCGGGCCAAGTCGCCGGCCGTGAACTTGAACTTGGCACCAGCGCCGCGTTTTTGGACCGCGCTCAAAAATGGACACCTTGCTCCTTTTTGGAGAAAGCTGTCGCGTCTGGACCGGGCCGGGCCGCACGGGCCGGGCTGGCACGCTTGCTGGCACGCGCCGCCGCTGGAGTGGTCTGCCGCCCGACGATGACTCGTCAACTTTGGGGTCGCCCGTTTGGCGTCGAGTGTGTGAGTGTGTGTGCACCTTGCAGCCCTAATGGCAGCCTGGCATTATTTGCAGGCACGCCCCGAGTTATTCGCACGATGGCTATCTGCGTGTAGGCAGCGGTGGCAGCGGCGGCGCAGAACGACTCGCCCTGTCTCTCTCGCGCTCCTGTGGAGTGCCGCACGAGTGCGAGAGAGACAGCGTGACTGCAGATGGTATCGGTGGACGGACTAGCCGGCGGACACGTTCGGGGAAATGCATGAGGATAAATCCGGTCGCCTATCCGCGCCTTACATCGCCGGGGCAGCCGGGGCGTGGATGAGCAGGCCGTGGTAATGAAGTCCAGAGCCTCCGTGCAGTGCCTCGCCCAGGACGCCGCCTAGGACATCACCCAGGACATCGCCCAGGACATCGTCCAAGACATCGCCCAGGACATCGCCCAGGACATCGTCCAGGATGACATCCAGAATGACGTCCAGGACAACGTGCAGGACGACGTCCAGGACAATACCCAGGGCAACTTCCAGGGCAGCGTCCAGGACAACGTCTAGGACTTCGTCCAGGACGACGTCCAATGCGGGCTAGGGTAGCCGGCCACCTTCGCGACCCTTTTCGAAAAGACCAGTCTCGCCCATCTTGCCCGCCTGCCGGGTCGTTTTCCGCGTAGTTGGTTGCGTTCGTTCGTCGAGGCTGGCTGGCTCACGTAGTTGGCCACACTGCACTGCACTGCACACTGCTCACTGCGCCGCGTGTCACTCTGGATCACTTCCATGAAGCGACGTGCACGCAGAGCGCAGAGCAACGCAGAGCAACGCAGCGCGGCGCGGAGGGTTCAGTAGCCGCGGTTGGCACGCCTGCCCGTCTGCCTGTCAGCGGCGAACCCGCCAAAGGGGTGGCCGCCGTTCCCACAGTGCACCGCGCACCGCGCACCGCGCCAAGCGGCCTGACAGGGCCGTCGCACTGTTGGCCGGCAAGGCTGCTTAACTTTGGACACTTTGTGGTCGAGCAGGCGCCGAGCCAAACGCATAAGACTACCGATGGACTCCTCGTAGGAAGAGCATTTCATTGACGGCATCATGAGTCAGATTCGATTCGAGTCGCTTTAGACAACATAACGAGTGCCTTGCCGCAAAGCGCGCTGCTTCTGCAGGAAAGCCGCACAGGTTCCCGAAGAGATTTCGGCTGTGGCTCGGGCAGTGGCAGGCCCCGGGCACAAGGAAGCCGACGGCAAGCCCCATTACTCCACCCTGCTTCGGCGCCGCGGTGCGCTTGACCCTGAACTTGGGCGCCGCCGCCGAGCCCCGCCACGGCGACGGGCTGGAGGAGGGGGCCTGGGACGCGGCGCGGAGCCACCGGGCCGGGCCGGGCCGGCTGAATCCGCACCTGAATCTGAATCCCAGTAAGCGGCAAGGGCCGCAGTTACATCTTGGTACCCCACTGTGACATCACTGCTTTACAGTCGCCAAGGTCGGCGACGGTTCTTCACAGTGGAGGACCCTACGTTGTAATCCGCAAGCGATTTGTCGGCCGCCGAAGAGGATCCGACCGGCAGCCGAGCCTTTTGACGAAAATGAAAATAAACGAAAGCCGGTGTCGGTGAGGAGTGAGGAGGCATCATCGGTCGCACGCACCGACCGAGCTTCCCCACGCTACGCACCGCCACCGGCACGGACCGGCACGGACCGGCACGGGCACAGCGCGATGCATAAACCCGCCATCTCGTTTTATTTTTTCCGCGCTGCGGCGATCCTTCCTCACTCCGCACGTGCAGCCCGCTCTGCCGATCCTCAGCGACTCCGAGACCCCCGTCGTGCACTTGTCATCGACGGTGTCGCTTTGCGGCGTCCGCTCGGTGCTCTATGAGGCGCACCACTGCTTCGTCGCTCTGTCTGTGTCAGACAAAGTCGACAAAGTCCCTCCTCTGAATCGCTCGGCAGCACGAGGCTAGACACGAGCGTCGTGGCCGTTCACAAAAAGTTGAAAGTTGGGGTGCCCGTGCGGCTCGACTCGCGGATAGCACTGTAAGTGACAGCAAGGCTCCGATCCGTCCAGCTGAGCGCTGGAGCTGGACAAGCTGGAGCGTGGCGATGCTATCGGCCTGGCCGTCCTGAACTGTCCCGGGCTGCAGGCAGGACGCACGCACTCGCGGATCGTTTTCCGAAAATCGAAGACGCGTTTCGGTCCGAGGCTCGGGTTGGAGCGGGTGCACTGTTTTCTTCCGGGCCGGGCGAAGTGGTACTCACTTGCTTTGGCGGTCCGATGAGCTGCGAGAGGAAGGACCCGACAAAGTCCTGGCCAACACTGATTCACTTTGGCACTGGACGGGCAGGGCCAAGGGCAGGGCCACGGGCAGGGCGGGCACACACACAGTCTGTCACTGGGCACTGGGCATCTCACGGGGGACTCGGGCTTGGCTTCGCGGGGGAACGTTGTGTCGGCCAGGCCGACAGGGCTCAAACAGTCGCCCTCCGCGAGTCCGCACCGATACTTATAGCCTCTGTATCACCACCAATTCTCGCTTAGGACCATCCTCCTGCTGCTCGCTCGCTCTTCTTGTGCTTGCTGTTGTTCTTCTGCTTCTCCTCCTCCTTCTTCGTCTTCGCCTCTTCTTCGCTGCGTCTTCGTCTTCGTCGCCTCCTTCCCCTCCCCGTCCTGGTCCGTCCTGGTGGGTTCGCGGGGCACCGGAGGCAGGCCGACGTCGCCGACGTACCCGCCGAGTGTGTAGACAAACTTGTCCTTTTTTCTTCCTTTGGCTAAATCCGAAACCCTCCCCTCCCGGGGCCCGGCCTGGGCTTGGGCCCCTCCTGCAGATCCCTGGGAGCACATTCCAGAGGGAAGCCACGCCATTGGTCGCCTCGCCGCACCGAGCCCCGCACCGCGTCCCGCACCGCGCCGCCTCTGCGAGGAACCGAGGGTTGCGGGCAGGGAAGGTCTCGGCCACGACGGGGAGGTGCGGGGGCCGGGGGGCCGGGGCACCAGGGGCAAGGGCAGGGGGGCGAGCACACCGTCAATGAGGAGGAGCGAGGGGGTGGGGGAACGCGGGGGAACGCGGCGTGCGGCGGTCCACCGAGTCCACGTGGTCGGCCGGTCTGCACAAGACTCGTCTTCAGTTCCGCCGCGGCCCGGCGCCCCGCCACACCGGGGCCTGGAGCGTGCGAGCGGAGCGCGGAGCGGCGGAGAGGCAGCGCGGTGTAGGGGCCGTACCCCTTCCCCCACCACGGGGGGTGCTCCGCCAGCACCGCGAGCACCGCCTGGGGCCCAAACGCGCCAAACCACGTCACGCTCGGCAGCACAAACGACACCGGGCTACCGCCGCCACGCCGCGGCCGCCCGCCGTCTAGGCGCCACCGCCAGCGGCACCTCTCGGCGCCACCAAGACCACTCACCTCTTGCAGCCTGCAGGTGGACGGGTTGGCGACGTTGCAGTGCGTTGCAGCCCCGGGGGTGCGCGCCGTCCGGGTCACGATAACGCCGACGAGCAGCCCGTCGCGGCGTCGCGCCCGAGGAGGAGAAGGGGCAGAAAAACATGGAATTATTAGCATTTTTATAAGAAAGCCGCAGACTAGACGGCCAGACTGGCGGGGCGGGCGGCGGCCGCAGCGGATGCCTGCAAAGTAGACGCACGCACACATTGCATAGGCATGCGTGGAAAAAAAATAGCCAACCAAGTTAGTCAGTCACTCGCAGAGGAGCGAGTTTATGCGGAGAACATCGACACATGGGGCTCGGCGTCTCGGGTGGAGCCCACCAGCCGCGATTATCTCATTGTCCAGCCCCGCCCCGCCCCGCCCCGCCCTATGCAGTGCTCGGCGTTACGTAAGAAAGTGCAGTAGTGCGGCCGACGGGTTCAAAGGGAGAGATTTATGTGGTGGCGGTCATTGTGCGAGAGGCCGAAGCAGGCCGATTCGGTCTGTCTCTCTCCCACCCCCACGGCGTGGCCCGTGAGTGCGAGAGCGACAGAGAAAGCACTGTTCGGAATCGCCGGGCAAGCGTTTCGTATCGACGGATTAGGCGTCGTGGTGTGGCCGTTTGGCCTCGGCCAGGCCCGGCCGGACAGATGCACTCCATCTCGAAATGATACACTGGGAGAGTAACGCTCGGAGCATAACTCCACCCCGTGGACCGAAATCGATTAGGTGAGCGAATCGGTTCAAACTTGGTGAGTTCAAACTATCAAACGCTCTTGGACGGGGAGAAGCCTCTGGAAAAGCCCTTCTTCTGGGAAAATGCTCTTGGGCTCGGAAAATGCTCTTAGCCTGGCAAAACGCTCTTCACCTGGGAAAATGCTCTTGGCCTGCTCTGGGAGCGGCGGAACCACGGGCTGAGCCGTGTCACAGGTCCTCTGGTCAAGGGGACAGGGGACACCCGGCCGGCGGCGCGCAGGGCGGGACTGGGACTCTATCCCCCACCGTGCTTATAATGAAGCGGTACGGTCGTCCTCTAGCTTTTTTCCCGACGTCTTTGAAGAACGTTATCTGGCTCTCCTTTCTGGGACCGCCATGACGCAACGCGCTGGACTTTCTTTGATCCCCTTGTCTCCTTGCGTCCGTCCGTCCGTCTGTCTGTCTGTCCGTCCGTCCGCTTGCCCTTGCGACACGCGGTGCCGCGTCCTTTCCGCGAGCAAGAAGAGGGCACATCCTGCCCGGCTCGGCACGGCTCGGCACGGCCCGGCGCAGGACTCTCCTTGGCTCGGCTGCTGGGGACAAATCGCCTGGATTTCCATCGTTTTCATCCTTGCCCGGGGCGGCGCGCCGCGGCAAAGCTCCGCGAAGCTCGGCGCCTCCTCGCGGCCCTGCAGACTGAGTCTCATCGCAGTGTCTCTCTCGCGCCTACAGGGCGCGTCCCACGAGTGCGAGAGAGACAGAGAGACGAAAACGGCTCCGGGAATGAGCCTGCTGCCGCCTTCGCCTCGAAGCAGCGAAAACAAGAAGAAGCGTGCAGGGGGTCACGTGCGACCACGACCGGGGATCGAACCCGAATCCGCGATCGGTCCGCGACACTGCGAGAAGCTTGGCATGTGGTTCGAGCAGCGCGACTAATGGCGAAACCGGAAGCTGTGCCTTATGGCGTCGCCGCGTCCGGCGAGTCACGACACTGTGCCATCCCCCCTCCCCTTCCCAATGCCGCGACCCACTGCACACGCTGCACTCAGTCACTGGGTGACGGCCCGCCCACTGCGCCTCGTCGGCCTGTCTCTCTCACACCCCAACGGGCCGACCCATGAGAGCGAGAGAGACAGAGCAGCGACGTCGGACTTGTCCCACGGCACACGTGCCGGTCTTTGCCGGGCCCGAAGCGGCAAATTTGATTTCCAGCGCCATGTTGTTTCTCGTTGTCTCCAGGCCCAGACGTTCTGACCTCTGCAGTCCTGGGACAGGACTCGACGACCCCAGCGGTCGATTCCGTGTTCCAGGGGAGATGTGTTGGTGGGGTCGTGCGTTCGACCCGGGTGGAACTAGCAGTGCACCGACGTCGCCGTCGTGGACCCCCGCGGCCAGTGGACCCGGGCCATGACGTGGCCGAAGACGCGCGACGTGTGCGGGGAAGCCCGGCGCCGCGACAGGCTCGGTGCCGCACATAAAGAGACTCCTCGCCGTGCCGTGCCCGCGCCGCGCCGCCGGGGGACGGCAGTTCGGCGTCCGTCAAGTTCACGAGCTTCGCGAGCTCGGCACTCGGCGAGGACAAGGCGCCGCGGCGCCGCCAAGAAAAACAACGCATCCAACAACAAGAGGATGAGGACGACGACGGCGACGTCGAGGGCAACCCGTGCTGCAGCCGGGCGGCGTGGTTGTCTATCCTTCGCTCCGCAGGGGCTTGGCCGCGCTCGGCCGGGCCGGGCGGGGCGGTGCGTGTGGCATCCTAGATCCGGCAGTGGTCGGCGAGGACGCTGCCGGCGACGCGGAGGATGCAGCCGCGCGAGCTGCGCCGCCTCACTTCTCTGCCGCCGCGTTGATTGAAATCGATTGGCGCGGCACGGCACGGCACGGCACGCGCGGCGAGGAGCAGCGAGTCAACGGCACGCCGAACGTGTCCGTCGTGTTATTGTAGCCCGCAGCCGCCAGCCCGCAGCCCGCACGCCGACCAACAAAAACTAAAAAGCAACAAAACCACAAGCAAAAACTACAGCAGCAGGTGCATAAAGTGCGCGGGTGCACGAAAAAAAAATGAGATGCAAAAATGTCATTTTGTGGCACGGGTCACATTATATGGTGGAGGTTCGGTCACCACCTCCGGCCGGCCCGGCCGTAGCGCGGAAGTACCTCAGTGACCGCCACTCCAGCGGCCGCATCGCGCCGTGCCGCCCGTCGCCTTGGTCCTCCCACGCGTCGTCGTCCTCCTGAGGACTCGTCGCGGTCCTCGCTGGGGAGAGAGAGAGAGAGAGAGAGAGAGAGAGAGAGAGAGCTAGGGCGTTGATGTCGTGTTCGTTACGTCGCTGCCCGTAATTTGTGACGACAAAACCAACACGACTCTGCGGGCCGAACAGCGGCCCCTGTCTCTCTCGCACTCACGGGCCGCCGTGGACGCCCCGGACGCCCCGGAGGGCTGCGAGAGAGGCACGCCGTGCGGAATCAGCCCGTCGAATTAGCATGTCGGTGTGCCCCGACCGCCCCGACAGCAGCAAGCACTGATCACCGCCAGGCCGCCAATGAGCGAAACAAATATTTACTGCGGACTGACAACGCTGGGGCGGCCCACCCCGTCCAGTCCGTCTAGTTGGCGCAAAGGGCAGGACTCCTGTTTGGTGGACCAGTGATTCACTTTCACTGGTCTGGTCACCGAGAGCGTAACCCGCGAATGGTTTGCCACGACATACGCCGTTCTGTTGTTCAACGCCCCAGTGGGCCTGAGAAAAGGTAAAGTCACATTCACTTCGGTTAGGTTAGGTTAGGTTAGGTTAGGCTGGGATCCTTGCTGCAGACAGCCTTGCCTCGATTCGGCTAATCGCGGATGGTTGCGACGCGCATTTAGAGCTTCGAGCAGCTCAGCGGGGCATCCGGAACTCCGTCAATAATGAGTATTTGCTTGGCATAAATTATTTGGCGGCCGCTGCGGCGCACTGACCCGCCGGGCCGGACGGGCCACCGCGAGGCCTGCCCGTCCGCCTGCCAGTGCCTGCCGCCGATGACATCACTGCCTGGAATTTTTCGTCCTCAGTATCAACAAGCCCGGCTAGTTCCCCGCATCCTTCCCGGCCAGTACTCTGATTCCGAGAGTCGTTTTCGTCGCTCCGTCTCTCTCGCACTCGCGGCGCGTCCTGCGCGTGTGAGCGAGAAAGACAGAGCGACTCTCGGTCCACAGGTCAGCCTTCTTTACTGCCGCAGTGCAAATACGCGTCGAACCGCCGCTGTAAAAGTGACCGGTTATTTTAATTCCCCGCTCTAGCCGTTCATTAGCCGCCGTCTTTGTACTGTTTAACCACCGCCGTGATAAGGAGCGCAAAAAACAAAACGCGGCGTGGTTCGAATCACGCTTTTAGTTTATTGGTTTTCTCTTTTTTTTATTTCGCTAGTTTGTTGAGCATGCAGTCATTGGAACGTATCTGTCGAACTCTGCACTCACTAAGTTTTCACATTTGCTTCACTTATAAAAACTCCAATTTTCCTCCTCCATCTCCTTTCCCGCCCTGGAGTCTCCAGGCTGGAGACCCTGCGCTCGGCTCGCACAGCGCATCCTCGCCATGGCCAAGGCCTCGGCCAAGGCGGCGTGCTGGGAGTAGAGGCGCGCTGCGTGCGGCGCTGGGGA